CGGGAACTTGGCACCTGGTTCGTCGACCTGCGACACGCAGGCCCTACAAAAAAACGGCACCCAGATTACTGGGTGCCGTTTGATTATCAGCGTCGATTTGCGGGGAAGCAAATTAAACTTCTTTGGCGTCGATCCAGCTCATCAGGCGGCGGAGGCGTTTGCCGACTTCTTCGACCTGGTGGGTGCGTTCGCGACGGCGGATTGCTTTGAAGCGGGCAGCGCCGGCTTTGTTTTCCAGGATCCAGTTGCGAGCGAACGTGCCGTCTTGGATTTCGGTCAGGCACTTCTTCATTTCGGCTTTGGTTTCTGGCGTGATGATACGTGGGCCGGTCGAGTAGTCACCGAATTCGGCCGTGTTGCTCACGCTATAACGCATGTAGTTCAAGCCGCCTTCGTAGAACAAGTCGACGATCAGCTTCACTTCGTGCATGCACTCGAAGTAGGCCATCTCGGGCTGATAGCCGGCTTCGACGAGGGTCTCGAAGCCCGCCTTGATCAGCTCGCTGAGGCCGCCGCAGAGGACGGCTTGCTCGCCGAACAGGTCGGTCTCGGTCTCTTCGGCGAAGGTCGTGCGGATGACGCCGCCCCGCGTGCCGCCGATCCCCTTGGCGTAGGCCATGCCGATCTTGAAGACGCTCGACGACTCGTCCGACATGTCGTCGTCGGCCGCGACCGTGCCCGCCTTGCGCGTGGCGATGAGGCAGGGGACGCCGCCGCCCGCCTCGAACTCGCTGCGGACTAGGTGGCCCGGGCCCTTGGGCGCGACGAGCAAGAGGTCGGTCCCCTTCGGCGGCTCGATCAGCCCGAAGTGGATGTTGAAGCCGTGCGAGCACATCAGCACGGCGCCCTTCTTCAGGTTCGGCAGGATGTCCGACTTGAAGACCTCGGCCTGAACCTCGTCCGGCAGCAGGATGTTGACGACGTCGGCCTGCTTGGCGGCGTCGGCGGCCGAGACGGGCTCGAAGCCGTGCTCCTTGGCGAGGTCGTAGTTGGCGCCGCCGGGGCGCTGGCCGACCACGACGTTCACGCCGCTATCGCGGAGGTTCTGAGCATGGGCGTGGCCCTGCGAACCATAACCAATGATGGCGACCGTCTTGCCCTTCAGAGCAGCGAGGTCGGCGTCGGCGTCGTAGTAGATTTGGGCCATGAGGGCGGCGGTGTGATGCGGACGCCGCACGGTGGGCGGGGCGTCCTGGTGTTCAGAAGTGGGAAGTGGGAAGTCGGAAGTTGAAGAAGGGGATAAACATCTTTCCCACTTCCAACTTCCCACTTCCGCCTTTGAGTTAGTTAGGCGTCGCTTTCGGATCCGGGTTCACCAACGATGGGCCTGTTCACGCTCCGGATCATCGCGATGCGGCCGGTGCGACACAGCTCGATGATGCCGAAGGGGCGCATCATGTCGATGAAGGCCTCGATCTTCTTCTCCTGGCCGGAGAGCTCGATCATCATCTCGTTAGGCGAGACGTCCACGATGCGACCGCGAAAGATGCGGCTGAGCTCGCGGATCTCGGGGCGGTCGGTCTTGGCGGCCTGGACCTTGATGAGCATCAGGTCGCGTTCGACGTGGTCCTTGCTGCTCACGTCATCGACACGGACGACCGTGACGATCTTTTCGAGCTGTTTGCGGACTTGCTCAAGGATGTTGTCGTCGCCGACGACAACAAAGGTCATCCGGGAGAGTTCGGGCGACTCGGTCTCGCCGACGGCGAGGCTGTGGATGTTGTAGGCCCGCGACGCCAGCATCCCGGCGACGTGCGCCAGCACACCGGGGACGTTTTGCACCAGAGCGGAAAGAACGTGTCGCATCGGTTGGAAAGGGGTCGCGGGAAAGGGCTTACAGCGACGGCCCGGGGGCCGTGCCGAGCCACGAATCGTAATCCGGGGGCGGGGCGGTCGCAACCAGCCCACCGCCGGCCGTCATTGACCAAAGATGTGAAGACCGGTACTCTGGCCAGACTCGCGACCCTCGAACGGCCCGAAGGGTTCGCGACTAGTCCCGACAAAGGAGCCCCGTACGGGCCCAAATCAGGGGCTCTAACGCATCCGGCCGGAACGACCAACGCTGGCCCGCCTCGGCGCTTTTGAACGCCTCAGGCGGCCTAGTAGGGCCCTTGTAAGGGCTCTGGTAGGGCCTCGCCGGTGTGCCCCCAGGAGAGATTTTGTGTCGCTAGTTAATGAGCTCGTCGAAGCAGGCGTTCACTTCGGTCACCGTGCGAGCCGGTGGAACCCGAAGATGCGGCCGTACATTTACGCCCGCCGCAACCTGATCCACATTATCGACGTCCGCGAGACCATCCGCGGTCTCCTGCGAGCCAAGAAGTACCTGGCCGACGTCGCCGGCCGGAACAGCCTGATCCTGTTCGTCGGAACCAAGCGCCAGGCGTCGGAGTCGGTCGCCCGCGAAGCGGCCCGTTGCGGCATGCCGTGGGTCTCGGAGCGTTGGCTGGGCGGCACGCTCACCAACTTCCGCACGATCCGCGACCGGCTTGGCCGGCTGGAGCAACTCGAGGCGATCCGCCAGGGCGAGGCGATCAACTCGTACTCCAAGAAGATGCAGTCCACGTTGACCCGTGAGTACCGCAAGATCTACCGCAACCTCAACGGCATGCGGACGATGACGCGTCTTCCCGAGTGTCTGGTGGTCGTTGACCCCAAGAAAGAAAAGAACGCCGTCAAGGAAGCCCGCGCGCTGGGCATCGCTGTGGTGTCGCTGATCGATACCGACTG